TGGGTATTAATTGGACAATTGTCTTCACCGCTTCCGTGGTGTTCACTCATATGTTCACTTGTATTATATTGTTGTCCACACATTACTTGCATTACTTCTGATAAGATGGCAATCAAAGTGGTGGTCGTATCCATCGCTTTCATAATCTCCATTTCGGTCATCGATATTATGGTTGGAGTCGGGGTTTAGGATGTGTGGCCACACAAGTGGGTATAAATTGTTGTCAATTGTGTTAACGGCTACAATAAGCGTAAGTGAGACTCGCATACAGGTATAGTACAGGTGCTCAAACACTAAAGACTTATGATAACATAGCCTTACAGTTGACTTCAATCCTACCGCATGCAAGACATGATATACTGAGGATATTAATATTAATAGTTGCCTATCCTTTGCCTGTCCTTCCCGTTCCTTTGATTATTATTGTTAATCACAATTCACAATGAATTTGTGATTTATGGCACCGCACTCTTCCCCCTCTCATTTTATTCATCTTTTTTACTTAATTAATATTAATTGTAATTTAATTGCAATTTAAGAATTTTATTATAATATTATTAAATAAATGTTATTTTATTTATTATTTAAATTTTCGATTTCACTTTTAATAGGATATAAGCCTTAGGCTCTTATTGTTGTCCTTCAACCAGTGAACCACTAATTGAATTGTTTTACTATTAATTGTATCCATTATTTAAATCGTTTAACTGAAAGTCATTTACAAACCTATTTATGGATTGAATATAAAAATAGATATTAAAAATTGAAAGTGAGTTTTGGTACTAAAAATAAGGTCAAAATTCTGTCGCTCTTTATTATGTTTGAGAAATAACTTCATAGAATTGGAGGTAAAAGTTCTTGACACAACAAAAATCAGCACTAATTATGCACCCAAACCACAAAACACATCCCATTTTATACGACAGGTATAAAATCTAATGTCATTAAATTCATTAGTTATTCAATAACATCAATAAATAAGTCAAACACTTAGTGTTTGAAAATGAAAAATAATTTTAAGGGCAACTCATAATATAGAAAATTATATAACATTTGTTGAATATATGGATAGAAAATCTAAAGTAAAAGAACTTAATGTTAAATGAATGTATTAATTGAAGAGGTCTTAAAAATGATCACAATATTGGGTATCTGTTTGTAAAAATTAAACATTAAAAACAGATCCAATCTTGTATTGTGTCCATCGATTTATTGAGGCCGTGGACTGACAAAATCAAAGCACCCGTAGATATAGTACTGATAAACAATATTAACAATATTAGTATAAAATAATGACAAACAATATTAGTATAAAATGGAAAGTTATTGTTTATTTAAAACAATTAATTAATTTTATTTTTGAAAATATTTTTAATAAATTGACATAAAAATCAAGGATAACCATAAATGTATTCACTCGTGCATTGAATCGATTAGGATGAAAGTAAATAACATTTATATTAGCGATTAATAATCGCCGATTACAATAACGTCAAACATAAGCCAATGATTCGCTGTTCTCTATAATTAAATAAGTTTAAGAAACCATCGAAAAAAAACTCCCAAATTATTTCAGATGGTTATCGGATGTGAAACTAAATTATATAAAAATAATAAAACATTAAACAAATAAAGAGTTTTTTAAAACTGCACTACAAAAGAGTGTTTCTTGAGTACAATCACCAAAAATCTGGTTCAATAGTAGACTAAAACTTTCAATACATTTGAGTTCACATGCAATACAATTTCATCCTTTCTTTGCGAAAGATATAATTAAAGGTGAGTTTAATAATCGGATGCGAGCTTTGGATGCTATAAAAAGGATGAGATATTATTGCAATAATTGTATTACTTTTTTAGACATCAAGTATCGCAAGAATTTATTTTTAATATAAGGAATAATAATTCAATAGAAATTCTGTTGAATTAAATTGAAGTTTAAAAAAGTTAATTTCCAATTAAAACAAGTGTTGAATTAAATTGAGTGCAAAGAAGAAATGTCTAAAAGTATGTCATTACCGAAGATAATGAGTGAAGATATAGTGATTAGTGGAATGAGCGGTCGGTTCCCGGAATCCGATTCCACCGATGAGTTCGCGAACAATCTGTACGACGGCGTCGATATGATTACCGATGATAGCCGTCGCTGGCCTTCAGGTTAGTAATTACAGCACACATTCAAACCTCAATTATAACTATCACACTATCAGTACTTGATTTCAACTTTTTAACTATTAAGTTAGTTATAAAACTATTAAAGTTACAAAAATTAATTTTAAAAAGTAAAATTATAAATATATTTAATACTTAATTAAAATATTTCAACACCTTCACATTAAATTCTAATTAACTAACCCAAAACTAAAGAGCATGATACATTTACTTTAATTATAAAATCAGATTAATCTGTAAAAGTAAGAGAGTGAGAGTAAGCTGTAAAGAGTGAGCATAAAATTAACTGTATATATGCAACGACTCCGTCACATAATATTTGTATAGCTCAACATTTATCTTAATGCAAAAATAGCATAAAAATGCACTAAATATAGTGTAGAGTTCGTTCATATATAATGTTACTTTAATCTCCAATAAAAAGACCCTTAGTTTTTGCAAACATTAAAAAAACAGTGTATTTGTAAACATGAGGATTGGTGTGGCGTTAGGCCCACTACAAGCCCTACCACAATGACCATGGTGGTGGTGGTGGTCATTATGATCATTTTAATTATGATCAATATAAATATAAATAAACTAATTAAATATGCGCTGATTTACTGTCAGATTTATACTCGATGAACAACCGAATGGGCAAAATCAAGTTTGTGGACAAGTTTGACGGCCACTTCTTCGGCATAATGCCCACAATGGGTGACACTATTGACCCGCACTCACGCATCCTATTGGAGACCACTTACGAGGCCATCATTGACGCCGGTATTTAGCCATCGCTTCAAACGCGACCATTGATTGAATTAATTGATTGATCCGATTGTCTCTCCCGATAGGTGTGAGCCCTCAGAGTCTTCGGGGGTCACAGACGGGCGTATATATCGGGTACTCGACGTTCGGAATGCCGGACGGTATCCCCGATGAGGTACAGCCAGACTCGCAGAACTCGATGACTGAGACACTGCTATGGGTTCCGGGAAACTCCAAGTGTCTGTACGCCAATCGCGTGTCATTCGTGTTCGACTTCAAGGGCCCGTCTCTGGTCACAGACACCGCCTGTTCCTCCAGTTTAGTGGCCTTCAATCTGGCCATCAATGACCTCAGACTCGGTAAGTGTGGCGCTCGTTATATATGTGACCATTGATTTAATCGCCGATTTGTTGATTGGATGCGAAGGGAAGTGCGATCAGGCGATCGTTGGTGGGTCGCAGATAAACCTCCAGCCCTTCACGAACCATATCTTTCAGACGACTCGTCTCAACAGTTTCGATGGCATACCGAAGGTGTGGGACGAGTCGGCCGACGGCTTTGTGAGGGGAGAGACAGTGGCGTGTCTTTTCTTACAGCGTCGGCCCGACGCCCGACGCGTTTACGCCACTGTCCTTAACAGCGGCGTTAATATCGATGGCAACAAAACAATGGGTATGTTCTTCCCGTCGGCCGACGGACAGCAGGAGTTGATGATCAAGACGTACAAAGAGGCGAACGTGGATCCGCTCAAAGTGACCTATTTTGAAGCGCACGCCACCGGAACCAAAGTATTGTTGCCCTTAGAAGTGGTTTTGTTTGCAATTAATCATTAAATACTTGTGTCCGTTAAGGCCGGCGATCCACAGGAGGCCAAAGCCATCTACAATTCGTACTGCAAACTACCGAACCGTTCGGGAACTCTACCAATAGGTCTGCTGAAGAGTAATATCGGCCACACAGAGGGCGCCTCTGGAGTCTCGTCCGTAACCAAAGTTTTGATAGCTTTTGAAAATGAATGCATTCCTCGAAATCTACACCTGAAGAACATTAAGTCTACGATCGCAGACATGTGTCCGCCATTGGTTCCCATCACTGAGAACTTGAAATATACTCCGGGTATGAATTGATGCAAATAATTGAATGCATTCCTCGAAATCTACACCTGAAGAACATTAAGTCTACGATCGCAGACATGTGTCCGCCATTGGTTCCCATCACTGAGAACTTGAAATATACTCCGGGTATGAATTGATGCAAATTATGAACTTTTGTGTCATTTACTGGTAATTTAATCTTAATTTCAGGCATCGCTGGTGTGAACAACTTTGGTGTCGGGGGAGTGAATGCACACGTATTGCTCGAACCCAACTATAAGGTGTCCGATACGGACAGTCTTAAGATCGCGGACACAATCCCGAGAATTGTGAACATCTGTTGCCGAACCGAAGAGGCGTTGAACCAAATGTTTGATTTCATTCAAAACAATCCACAAAAAATTACTCGAGATTTTTTGGCCCTTTTGGCCGATACTATGAAAACTCAAACTTCTATAAAGACTGTCGGCTTTCCCTATAGAGGTCTGCAAAACGAAGTCTTTTAATTGTTTTGTTAATTGTATTTTTTATTCAAATTTAGGCTCAATTTTCATTAAACAAGTGATTGAAGGGAAGAATCAAATTAAATATGAATACAAAAGGCAGTCATCAGTTTTGAAGGCCAGAAATGTGAGACCCGTTTGGTTTATATTCCCGGGTTTGGGCGGCCAATGGGTTGGAATGGCTAAGGCTTTGATGCCAATCAAGATATTCGCCGATAAGATCGATGAATGCCATGAAATATTGAAACCCTTTGGTATCGATTTGAAGCACTTGTTATTATCTGATGATAAGAAGTCCATGTCTTCAATGACTAACAAATTCTGTGCCACAACTGCTCTCGAGATCGCATTGTTTGATGTGATGAAAGCGCTGAACATTATTCCCGACGGCATTATTGGCCACTCTTTTGGCGAAATAGCGGCCGCTTATGCGGACGGAGGGCTCACCACAAAAGAGGCGCTTCTCGTCACTTACATCAGAGGATACGTAACCGAAAGCGATAAGAAA